GAGTAAAATAAAGATGCATTTAGCCTTTATTAAAGTATATTCCACTGCGTGTCCTAATTCCCCACCCATAAAACCCTATAGTCACCGCTTCGTAGGAAAACATGCAGGGAGTAGGGATTAATGAGTGGGTCTGCATAAGCTACTGTTGCCCACAATCCTTTCCGAGAACGTTAAGGCTCTTGTAGCTTTTAAAGTAAACCACTTAAACGGACTGTACATGTAGTAATTTTCTGTCTGAATAAAGAACAGTTCCGTATGAGACACAACTGCAAGAGCAAAAGAGCCAAGAATTGAACTATCTATAGATACTGATTGAACCTTTTAACTAGAAAGTAGAGAGAAGTAGTCAATGTGTAAGCCCCTGAAGCACTATCATCGGGAGTGACTGTTTGTTAGCATACACGAGGTAAGCCTTATTGTCTCACTCTCATCACGCCATATATCATCGATAGAGATGAATAAACTCGACGGATGACAAGTCACGTTGAAATGACCGGTGTGACGAGAGAATTGGTCTATGCGCAGTATATACAATATGGCGAGTGCTGCTAGCAAAATGCTGCAATTTGCGAAAGACTGGTAATCACTCGCAAACCAACATTAAGTAGGAGCACAATATTGATTATCGTGCAGTCTTTTCAGTCACGTCAGGATGCCGGCTTTTTAAAGAGCTTCTTTCTGACCGCTTATAAAATGTAGATTCTGAGAAAAAGCGCTACTGAAATAGTATGCATTTTTATAACTGATTTTGACTGCCTTTATAAATTCAAATATATTTTATACAAAAATATACACGAATATATTCTTTCTTGTACTCGTTTGGTAGCAAATTACGCCTTCTTAAATTTTATACTTAAAAAGGGTATCTTACGGTTTTACATTTTTTTCTAAATTGCCGACTAATTTTGAAATTTACCGACTGCTACACCTATATTCAAGGTTTCCAAACAGCATGCTGTGTATATTCTGTTTAAGGAAAAAAAGGTTTTTGCCTACGGTTTGAGGAAGCGGTCGCATAGTTCTCATAAAATCTTGCAATAGATGTGGATTATGCTGTATACATTATAGGCAACATTAATAAATTGATGGACACCATGAATTATGGATGAACATCTCACAGTCGTAAAAAATCTCATAATTAGCATTTTTTATCAAAGCGAAGAACAACCCTTCTTTAAGTATAAAATTTAGGGTGTACTTTGCTACCAAACGAGTACAAGAAAGAATATTTTCGTGCATGTTTTCTATAAGATATATTTGAGTTCATCTAATCAGTCAAAATCAATAAAAATGCATACTATTTCAGTAGCAATTCTTTTCAGAATCTGCATTTTATAAGCGGTCAGAAAGAAGCTAAGTAAAAAGCCGGCATCCTGGCGTGAGTTAAAAGACTTGCGATTAGACTACACGATAATCAGTATTGCAATGCTGCCTTGTCTTGGTTTGCGAGTGATTACCAGTCTTTCGCAAATTTCGGCATTTTGCCTGCAGCACTCGCCATACTGTATTTGCTTTTGCGTGTCAGAATCAAGTGAACGTACCGCCCTAGCTGCACCAACGACTGCGCCCAATTCCTGAGCAAAATAGCTGAAAGTACTGGCACAGGGGTGAAGAAGTGAGGTCGACCCTGGATGATGCATTCCTGCGGTACCTAAACACACTGGGCAACATAAAAAATCCTATGCGTATGAATCCATCAGAACGACGCAAAGCCGTGGGTTGGGAGGTTGCTAACTGATAGGATAAACCCGTCTTCACATTGAATATGTGGCGTGAGTGAGTCAGGATCCATGGCCCCTTCTTAACGTGGCCTCTATAGCACATTCACATACGTGAGACCCTTTTTATAAAATCTGGGTACACTGTGGAGGGAACAGGCAGGGTGCGGCAGGGGAAGACAGGTTACTTGGCTTTGCTAGCCATAGCGTCTGAGCCCGTTTCTGTCCAAATTGATTTTGTCTCATCATTGGGCTCAGGTAGGCTATCACTATAAACCCATTCCCATGTAGGTCACCGTCCTACACCCAACAATCTGG